GGGTGCTTGCCTCACATGCACAAGGCCCTGGGTTCAATTCCCAGCAACACACACACACACACACACACACACAATGTTGATGACACTGGAGAAGTGATTCTGAGAAGTGATGCTGAATTTTAGGTAATTTGAAAATTATCTAATGATGACTATACAACCTAATATAACTAATTAGTGGTTTATATAAATTCATGCTGTTTGGTTGTCATTATATTTGCACATTTTCAATTAGTGAATAGATATTACTCAGAAAAGTCTATTGATAATAAATTGTAATATATGTACTAAACTTATGCCCAAGAAAGGTTCCCTTAGGCTCTTTGCAGTATTTTGCTAATACACATCCATTTTAAATGTTTTGTTGGTGCCATGGTATCATTTATCTTTGTTATAACTACAGCAGTGTCTTCTCTTGCATAATTCTCCTTTTGCTATCATGTTTTACATTAGGGTTTTATTTGCCCTCAAGCTTCCTGTCCTCCCTATAGCAGTCAGAAAAGCTGGCTTCAGAAACCAGCATACCTAACTACCCTAGCAGAAGACAAGTATTTTGCAATGTATTAAAAGCCAAGTAATCTCTATTTCTAAAGCTTAGTTTTTATTTTTCAAAAGAAGATTATCAGCAGTATATTAGTAAACTGTTTCTATTCTGCATGTTACTTTATCAAAGTGTATGTGATGACTATTATTCTTAAGGAAAATAAATATCCTTAAATTCTAATGTAACCCAAATTGAAGGGTAGTTTTTAAATGTTGAAACTTTTTTTTAATATATATTTTTTGTTGTCAATGAACCTTTATTTTATGTGTGGTACTGAGAATTGAACCCAGTACCTCACACATGTAGTCAAGTGCTCTACCACTGAGCCACAACCCTAGCCCGTAAATGTTGAAATTTTTTGAGGATGAAAGTAGAAAGTAAATGAGGGCTTTCTAGGATCCTCTCATCTTCTTACAGGAGAAGATGATCATCCTAAATTTAGGTCAAGTTCAATGATGCTATTTGTTCTGTCATGGAGACTAGAAATTTGGATTCAGAATTGCCTCTGAGATATCTGAAACTGACATCAACTACCATATATATATATATATATATA